AGGTGACACACACAGGTGACACACAGGTGACACAGGTGACACAGGTGACACGCAGGTGACACACACAGGTGACACACAGGTGACACACAGGTGACACACAGGTGACACAGGTGACACACAGGTGACACACAGGTGACACACAGGTGACACACGGGTGACACAGGTGACACAGCCATGACAACACCCCCATGGGCCCAACCCTGCCTGGCCCATCCCTGGCCCAGGAACGCCCTGCTGGGACCAGACTGGGATTATACTGGGATCATACTGGGATCATACTGGGATTATACTGGGATCATACTGGGACCAGACTGGGATTATACTGGGATCATACTGGGATCATACTGGGATTATACTGGGATTATACTGGGATTATACTGGGATTATACTGGGACCAGACTGGGATCATAGTGGGACCAGACTGGGACCAGACTGGGATTATACTGGGATCATACTGGGATTGTACTGGGACCAGACTGGGATCGTACTGGGATCGTACTGGGATCATACTGGGACCAGACTAGGATCGTACTGGGATCGTACTGGGATCGTACTGGGATCATACTGGGATCATACTGGGACCAGTATCTGCCCCCCATCAGGGCCTAACTGGGACCAGCACCTGACCCCAACTGGGACCATACTGGGACGCTCACCAAAGCCTTACTGGGACCAGTACATGACCTGGGACCATACTGGGACCAGTAGCTGCCCTTCCCTGGGACCATACTGGGACCAGTATGTGATCCCTACTGGGACCAGTACCTGCCCTTCCCTGGGACCAGTACGTGACCGTTACTGGGACCCCTACTGGGACTATACTGGGACCAGTACATGACCATCACTGGGACCATACTGGGACCAGTATGTGATCCCTACTGGGACCAGTACATGACCATTACTGGGACCATACTGGGACCAGTATGTGATCCCTACTGGGACCAGTACATGACCCTCACTGGGACCATACTGGGACCAGCACCTGACCCCAACTGGGACCATACTGGGACACTCACCACAGCCTTACTGGGACCAGTCCATGACCCTCACTGGGACCAGTATGTGACCGTTACTGGGACCAGTACATGACCATCACTGGGACCATACTGGGACCAGTATGTGATCCCTACTGGGACCAGTACGTGACCCCTACTGGGACCATACTGGGACCAGTACATGACCATTACTGGGACCAGTATGTGACCCTCACTGGGACCATACTGGGACCAGTACATGACCATTACTGGGACCAGTACCTGCCCCTCCCTGGGACCATACTGGGACCAGTAGCAGCCCCTCACCAAGGCCTTACTGGGACCAGTATCAGAGCCCTGTCGCTCCCAGTAACGGCCCCCATCGAGGCCTTACTGGGACCAGTATCAGAGCCCTATTACTCCCAGTAACGGCCCCCATCGAGGCCTTACTGGGACCAGTATCAGAGCCCTGTCGCTCCCAGTAACGGCCCCCATCGAGGCCTTACTGGGACCAGTATCAGAGCCCTATTACTCCCAGTACAGGCCCCCATCGAGGCCTTACTGGGACCAGTATCAGAGCCCTGTCGCTCCCAGTAACGGCCCCCATCGAGGCCTTACTGGGACCAGTATCAGAGCCCTATTGCTCCCAGTAACGGCCCCCATCGAGGCCCTGCTGGAACCGGTACCGGCCCCCCCCAGGGCCGTTAACGAGCCCGGTACCTGCCCGCCACGAGGGCCCTGCTGGGCCCAGTCTGCGGCCCTTACTGGGCCCAGTCCTTGCCCGCCGCCTCCCCCCACACCTTTCTGGATGCGGAGCTGCGCGGCCGAGGCCTTTTTGCTGGAGCTCTTGGTGCCGCCCGCCGATTCCTCCTCCTTCTTCTGCTGCTTCAGCGAGAACAGCTTGATCATCCTGCCGGGCCGGGGCGGCGGGGCCGGGGCGGGTCCGGGCCCCCCCCGGGGCCGAGGGAGCGGGACCGGGCCGGGGGCGGCTCCGGTTCGGGGGGTCCGGGGGCGACGGGGGCCGGGGGCGAACGCTGAGGGCCGGCCGGCTCGGCAACTTCCGGAGCCGCTCGGCAACTTCCGGAGTCGCTCGGGACTCTCCGGAACCGCTTCACAACCGCTCGGCAACTTCCGGGCCCGATTCGTGAATCTCCGGAGAGGGTTCGGGAAGCTCCGGAACTCCTTCGGAACTGCTTCGGGAGTTTCCGGAAGGGCTTCGGGAACCTCCGGAGTCACTTGGCAACTTCCGGAACCGCCTCGGGATCTCCGGAACCGTTTCGGAACCGTTTCGGGGCTTTGCGGAACGGTCTCAGGGATGTCCGGAGCCGCTCGAAACCTTCCGGAGATCTCCGGAAAAGGGGAAGTGGTTCGGGACTCTCCGGAACCGCTTCAGAACCGCCGGGCAGTCTCCGGGGCCGCTTCGTGGGTCTCTGGAATCGCTTCGAGAACCTCCGGACGGCTTCGGAATCTCTCGGCAAGCTCCGGAGTCGCCTGGCAACTTCCGGAACTGCTTCGGAACCGTTTCCCGGGGTTGCGGAACGGCCTCGAGGTTCGCAGGCGCCGCTTTGGAACCGTTTCCGGAGTTTCCGGAATCGCTTCGGGGATCTCCGGAAGGGAGGGAGGCGCCGGGGGGGTGGAGGCGGCTCGGGGTCTCCGGAAGGGGCGGTTCGGGGCCTCTCGGGACTTTGTGGAAGGACTCGGGCGGGCCCGAGGGCGCTTAGGTTTCTTTCGGTAAGAGATCGACTCGTTTCGGCACTTCGGCCCCGCTTCGGTTCTTTCCGGAACGCTTCGGGTTCTTCAGGAAAAGGGGGCGGAGCGAAGCGCTTGAAACGCCCCAATCTCGGTCCCTCGGCTCTTTCCGGAACACTTCGGCTCTTTCCGGCTCCCACCAGCCAATCCTGCCCGGGGCCCTTTCTCCCACCGGGCACCGCCATGTCCCTCATGGGCGCCGCCATCTTTATTGGGCCCGGGGCGCGTACCAGGACCGGTTTCCCCTCCAGTCCCTCCCGCGGGGCCTCACCGAGCCCGGTCCCTTCCCTCTCAGCTTGGGCAGGCCCAGCTCCACCCCACCAGCTCCCAATTCCGCTCAGGGGCCATGGATGGAAGCGGTGGGGCAGCAGAAGGGAAAATGGGGAGCATGGGGGTGGATGCAGCCCTTAAACGAGGGAGGGTCCCGGAGAGCCAGGTCAAAACCAGCCCGAAGTGAAGGAGAGGAAATCCAGATCAAATCCAAGCACTGAAACAAGGGAGGATCAAGGAGGCCGAGGCGCGGCTTTATTTCTCCAAGTGACCCTCCGGTATCAGGGGTCAGGGACATCCCCAGGTCCTGGGAGGTTCTGGGGCAGGACCCGGGAAGAAATCGGAACCGTGAGAGGGAGGTGTGACCCCCCCGCGGGGGAAACCGAGGTCCTGGGAGGGGTTTCAGCCCCCCAGGAGGGGGGATCAGGAGCCTGGAGACAGCTCCAGCGGTTCCTCGGGATCCACCAGGAGCCGCGAGAATTTCTCGTCCCCAAAAACGGCGCTCAGGCGGCTCTCGAGGAAGCGCTGCAGCCCCAGGATGGACTGGACATCCGCCTTGTCCTGGGGGGAAAACCGGGAATTCCAGAGGGGCTGGACCCTCCCCAGGGACCACCCCAGCCCCTCCAGGGGGTTCCCAGACCTCGGTGAGGCGGTGGAACTGCCGGAGCAGCTGCCAGCCGTCGCGGGCAAACTCCTCGGGGCTGCGGTAGTGCGGGCTCAGCTTCTCCTGCAGCCGCGCCCGCATCAGCGTCAGGTCGATGGCGTCGCGGCCGTCCTGAAGGGTCGGGATGGGGATCGGGGTCAGGGAGACCCTGAGGACAGCGGATCCCACGGCCCCGATCCCGCCAGGCTCACCAAGGAGCTGGAGAGGCGCTGCAGGGGCCGGCAGGGCTCGTGGCACAGCAGCTCCAGCAGGACGAACTCGCACCTCTGCGGGATTGGGATCCTGAGATCCCGGTGGGAACCGCCGGATTCCCCCGGGACCGCCGGAGCCCCCGGGACCGCCCCGCTCTCACCTGCTGGTCCTGGGGGCTCAGCTTGTGGGGAGGGCCCTGCTCTGCCCCTGGGCTGGGCGGGGGCAGCTCCTGGCACAGCAAACACGTCCATTCGGGGCTGCGGGATCGGGAAGGGGATCCCATGGGATCAGCACCCAGAGACACCCAGAGGTCTGGGATCCAGGGATCAGGAATGGGATTGGGAATGGGATTCCTACTGGATCGGGAAGGGGATCCCATGGGATCAGCGCCTGGAGACACCCAGAGGTCTGGGATCCAGGGATGAGGGATGGGATCAAGAATGGGATCCCATGGGATTGGCACCTGGGGACAGCAGATCCCAGGTCCCAGGGAGGTGACAAGTGGCTGTGGATCCCAGGGGGCACTGGGGGACTCAGGGGGGTGACACAGGGCAGTGGATCCTGGGGGACCCAGGGAGGTGACACGGGGCAGTGGATCCCAGGGCCCAGGGAGGTGACACGGGGCAGTGGATCCCAGGGCCCAGGGAGGCGCTGAGGGGCAGCAGATCCCAGCAGATCCCGTACCTGGGCACGTCCTGCAGGGCGGGCAGGTGGCAGTGCAGGTGGAAGCAGCGCTGGCAGCGGTCACACATCACCACGGCCCCAGCCTGGCCGCACACGCGGCAGCACGAGACCGCCGGGACCCCCGGGAGCCCCGCCGGGACCACCGGGAGCCCCGGGCCAGGGGAGGAGCCCGGCACGGGGCCCAGCTCCTGTGGGGGAGGGGGAAGCAGCCCCACAGGTTTGGTGTCCCTGGTGTCCCCAATGGGCGACTCCTGCTGCTCCTCCTGAGTGGGGGGACACCGTAAGGGAGGGGGGACCCTCACCTTGACAAGGGAGGAGAACATGGGGAGCTCACCTGGATGGGGAGGGACACACAAGGGGTGCGGAGGACACTCACCTGGATGGAGAGGGGGTACATGGAACACTGGAGGGGGACAGGGGACACTGGAGGGGGACAGGGGACACTCACCTGGATGGGGACAAAGGGGACGGGGAGGGACACTGGGGACACTCACCTGGATGGGGACAAAGGGGATGGGGAGGGACAATGGGGACATTCAGCTGGATGGGAAAGGAGATGGGACAGAGACTGGGGACACCAACCTGGATGGGGACAAAGGGGACTGTGGATGCTAACTGAAACAGAAACTTCAGGCCACCGAGCTTTCTCAGTCTTGCCTGAGAAAGTGGCCTGGGAAATTATGAGGAGGAATTAAAACAATCCTCAGAGACAGAAAACAGCCTTGCAGGTGCTGTTTGTCTGTTCCTTGTTTTCTTGCAAGAGAAGGTCGAGGGGTGGTGTACCCCAATGACCAATGATAGTGATGTGTTAGTTTACTAACCAAGAAGAGTTTCTTTTCTGTACTTTTCACGTATCGGTCTATAAAAAAGATCTGAGGTAATAAACTAAGAGAAATTCTCCTGATTGACTCCTGAGAGAGTCTGTGTCGTTCTTCTCGCCGTTCCTAATAGAACAACATCTGGTGACCACCGACGTGATGTGCATCTGATGACCCTCGAGGTTCAGTGCCGCCAGCGGACAACGAACCAGCCATTTCCCCCAACAGAGGGGAAAGTGAGGATCTCCCGGGCTCTCCTGGAGGGAGCTGGGTTTTTTAAACCAACAGGATAGTGGAGCCCTGCCAGTGAGCGGGCTTGGAACGGCTTATCTTGACGAAGCAGAGCTTAAAGTCCCGGGTCTAAGCCATAGCGTCTGCACCACTGCATTCGCGAGCCGTCAAGATAGACGGTTCCCACAATGGGAAACTGCAATTCAGCTAATGAATAGCTTGTCTTCCCTGCATGGCAGGACGCCTTGCCGCACATGGGACTCAGTGTTTCTAAAGAAGCTATGCACACTTTGTTCCAGTGGGTGAAAGCGCAAGGTTTTACTGTGACTTTTGATAATGCTTTCAACCTCGAGATTTGGCTGTCAGTGGGAGACTGCTTATGGTCTGAGTTAGCTGCGGGAAATACCAGCGTGTGCAGCCTGGCAGCCACCTGGGGCGCGCTCTTTAAAGCGCTGGAGCGGTGCCAGCCTGAGGACAGTGATGCCGAGATAGAAGATTGAGATGCCGGGGGTGCCTCTTTTGTACACCATGAGAGACTGGGGGATGGGACCGTGGACGAGCAGCGTAGCGCTCCCTCGGCTCTGCCCAGACCCTTGGAGAACTTCGGCCGCGAGCAGAAGCAGTCTGTGCGCCAGAGATCTCCCTCTCCAGGAGAGTCTGGGTGCCCGTCACCCGCGGAGCTGGGCGCGCAAACTTTGCCAACAGAGAGGAGGCAGGGAAACGGAGATCGCCCGTCCCCGCCTGCGCCCTCCGCGGCACCTTCACCGGCGCCGCGAGCACCGCCGCGAGCGGCAGCGGCCCCCCCACGTCCAGCCGTGGGACCTGCCGGCACGGCGGGGGGGGGCAGGTTTTAGCCCCCCCCCCGCCACCCCCGGGACCTGCCCGGCCC